CTCTGTGTCTGGATTCTGGAATATGGGTAGGAGTGACTTAATTCTTCTAATTCTATCCTGATCCCTCAAATTTCCAATGAGATCCTCACTCATTTCCCACATCAGATGTCTGGACGCAATGGATCCTTCAGAGAACTGTGAAGCGTTAAGAGGTTACGTTATCTTATAAAGAGAAGGAGCCTAGGTTCTTAAATGTCTGCGTGGTATGTGCCCATCACCCCACTGTCTCCCTTGACTGTGAGGGGAGAAAACTTTATTGGGTTAAGCCCTTTAGACATTTTGATGTTGTTTTTATAGCAGCGAGGCTACTCTGAATAATATGGAACAAGGGGAGCAGAAATGAAAAAAATATATGCATGTAATGTTCAGACAGTATTTTTCCTCTTTCATGGGACAACACCTTTTCCAGGCTTGAATCTCAGACTCCTCAGGACCCTAATTACTCCAGATGATTGTTAGCTGATTATTCAATAGCTTATTTTCCACGGACTTTTAGAGAGTCCTCAAAACTTGAGAATGACACTTTGTAAGAGAAAGTAACATCCAGAGGGAGAGAGGTGCCTAATTAAAGTTTCATGTTTGAACAGCAGAGGAACAGTATGTCCTTGCTTGAGTCTGGTACGTCCCTGTATCTCATCATTTTCAGCTGCTTCCATGATAATTACTTTTTTCTTTTGTATCTAAAGTCAGAATTATAAGTAAGAGAATTCTTGTGGTACCCTTGTAGAGCTAAATCATTAATATTGGGATGTTTATAGCACCAGAAAGACCTGTCATTAAATGTAACTCAATTCCTTATAAGGAGTTAAAGAACAACCTTGAACAACAATGACAAGTACACACAGGCAGAGTTTATAGGTGTATATATATTTATGTTGTTTTTTTTTCTTAGTAAAAGGATATTATGGACAAAGCTATACAGAGTTATATTGTCAACAAGTGTCAGAAGGAACTCAGTTTATTCAGATTAGTTCATATTTTCTAGAACTTCTATAATTATTAAATAAAATTCAAAAGGTTAATTTTATAAAATATCATTTGTAAAGGTATTAGGAAAAAAACATTCACTGAGCACCTAATATGTGACAGATACTGTGTAATACCCAAGGCTACATGGCTAACAAGTGGCAGTACTGGGATGCAGACAAAATGTGTTTCCCAAGTCCATATTCATTTCACTCTACTTTATTGCAGCACTAAATTTGAGTGTTAGAATTAAATAACTGTGTCTCAAGCTAAGATTCTCAGATAAAAGTTCTATATGTTGTACTATAAATAAACCTCAATGTGCAACCTCTCATCTCATATGGCATTTCCAGTGGCTGAGGTTTGAAGTTAATGATGAATCCAGGGAGAGAAAGGAGAGAGATAAGGTACCAGTGTACGTAATAAAGAAAAGCAATAATATCTCAAGAAAGAAATCTCAAGGGTGTAGACTACTGGTGCTATTTCAACCCCTTGCCCCAACTCTAAAAGTCTACGTAATGTAGCACATTTTTTTTATGTTGGGACTGAGACACAGATTTGGTTCATGTTTCTTGAGGCTGTTGTGTATGAGCAAGTCATTGTTGGACCTTCTAACCACCTAGCACCTAAATCTAACCTTCCTCTTTGCTTTCTGTTGGGTTCATGGCAACTCCCACCAATGTCTAAGGAGATCTTTCTCATCTTTTAATGTTTTCTTAGTATATTTTATTGAAAGTAGTACAGAGTATTTATTAAAAACAGATTCCATAGCCAGATTGCCTGAGTTCAAATTCCATCTCTCATACCTAATAGCTGTGTGAGTTGATAAACTATATATTTAATGTCTCTGTTCCTCAGATTTCTCATATAATGATCAAATTAGCTTGTGTATGGAATAGAACCTAGTGCATAGAAAATACTAGAGGCGCTCACTACTATTGTGGAACATAATGTGTGCTATCCTTGTTTTCATCTACCAGGTTAACCACAGTGTCATGGAAATTATTCTATATAAATAAATATCAAAGGAAAAAGGGATTAAAGGGAAACTTTTCTGTCTTAAAAAGGAGGAATACTATTATGATGTCAAAGATTTAGGGGCTACTAAGTGCAAAAGATATAATTAAGCTTTCTGTTTTATTTTTTTATCAGTAGCAGAAAACACCAAATCATTTCGAAGATATTCTCTGTCCCTAAAGAGACAAAATAAGTCCATGAAACTTACTTAATATTTTCTGTTATTAAACCAGATCTCTCATTAGTTGAGCTGTTACTGATCAGCTGTATCATCTTATTTCTTCTGCTGATCAAAAGAAGGGAGGGGTGAAGGCCAGAAGTTGGGTGAGGACAGGAAGAGGAGTGAGAATCAGGCTGGGGCAGCATCCAGAATGGCTGAAAGGTTTATGGTGCACCAAAATATTGAGTTTCAAAGATATCCCTTTCACTTACACTAATAAAATTGTCTGTGGCATCAACATCACTAGGTTACTGCAGCCTTTCCCATTATACCTTCTAATCTGTAATTTAATGATTCATTGGCAGACTGTCTACTCCAGAGCTTGATCTGCCCTTCTTTGTGGGGAGACAGATAGATGATTATTGTACCCACTATTTATTAAAGATTTCTGCCCTCTAGTTTCCTTAAAGCATTTTCCAAATCTACCTCCCGGCCCCTGGTATCTTTCTCTGTAAGATCTGAACTCAATGATTTAAAACACAATTTGCCGACAGGAGATCCTGAGAACCCATTATGAAAATGAAGGCAGAAAACAAACTTTGAATGTTTTTCCCAATTTCAAAAGCCTTCATTACATAGCACATTTCAGGTTGCAAATGTTAAAATTTATCATAGTTTCAGTAATTGCAGCTTCCTCTGGAAGCTTGGCATAATATGGACTCATTTATAAAATGTATATTTTGTTTGGCACTCAGTAGGAAACTTGCCAGGCAATACATTTAATTAGGAGCATAAGGAAGAGAATAATTGTAGTCTGTCATAACGTATTATTGTTACTTTTAAGTTCTACATGTGTTGAAGATAGTGGTCTCATAACAAGGTACATATTTAAAGCTAGAGGTAATTTCCTTTTCACTGGACGAGGGATTTTATATGGAGAAATATATTATTTTGAGGGGAAAGAATACATTAGCTATCCTTAGATATAACTCTTTGTCCGTTATTTAAGCTAAGTGAGCATTAGTTGCTCTCCTTAGAAACAAGCTTTGTTCATTGTTTAAGACCTTGAAAATTGATACATTGCCTTTCTGGAGCTTAGACAGCCTTTTATTTAAGTTCAGCTTTCTCTAGAGATGCATAGACATAATGAAATGCAGTACCTTTCTTGAACATAACTATGTACATAACACCTCGTCCTGCCTAATTCATAAAGTAAATTTGATAAGAGCAACTCAAAACAATTATAATGATTAACGTTGACTTTTTAGAAAAATTCAAAGGAACCTGTGTCAGCAGATTCAAAGAGAAGTATGATGCTAACCATCTACTGAGGCCAGGTTTTCATTGTCTTAGACATGATGTTCCATTTGTACAAAAAAGCTTTCTTGTAATGAATTTGAGAGGCACCATGAAAAATGTGCGGTGAAAGGGCCTTTTTAGTACATGGGGCACAAGTATTTCGATGTTCACGTTTTCAGGTATAGAATATGCAATATGCCTTTGCATGAACCCCTCTGCCTTTGATTACTTTTTAATGATAGTTTCCTAAGTGAACAGAGATTTTCCTCTAAAAAATCTTGTTAGATTTAACATTAGAGCGTCTACTCCTGAAATTAGTCCAAGATGTATATAAGATATTTGACAAAGATTGTCTTCCTTCTCCTTCTCTTCAACTCTCCTTCTCTTCAACTGTATTTTGGCTTCTCAAAATCTTCCCTTCCTTACTCTGATCAGCTTATTCCTCCTCCTCACCTTCCTCACTGTTCCTGCTCCCCCGTGAAGCATCAAAACAGTCATGTTAGTGAGTGATTTCTTCAGGGTCCTAGTCTCTACTAGGAAAAAGGAATAGAAACCACCTAATTAGAACAGTCAGTGTATTGACACTCAGTAGAGGTTTAGGAATTGAACATAGGAAATCAGGAGTAGTGGTAGGTGGATGAAGCAGTTATATTCATTCCTGTTAGTTATTCACTTTTTTTTTGAGGAAGGAGAAGAAAGTTGTCTCCTTATTCCACTCCAATAATATAAGAAATGCACTTCTTTTCTAACTACTTTGTAAAGCCCTAAATAAACACAACTGTTATTCCATGGCATTAAAAACCAAAATGATCTTAAAGTAACAACCACAAAAATAACTTACATTGTTTAAAGCAATGTTCTGAGCACTTTGTAGAAATTAAGTCATGAAGGCCTTAGAATGACTCCATGTGGGGGGCGCCTGTTATCTGGCACCAAGGAAACTGGGGTGTGAAGTAGGTATTTATCTTGCTTGACTTACGTAAATTTTAAGAAGCAGTCTTTTGGGGGAAACAGTCCAGGACAGTGTGACTCCAGATTCATACACAACTACTGTGATATTACTATAAATTAATTGTGGAGGAGAGATAATGTGATAAAAACAAAGTTGAATTAACAAAATGACTGTAAAACAAAAGAGAGAGAGAGACAGAGATTTTAAAAAGGAGGATTAAAAATATCCCTGCTAATCAAAATGCACTATTGAAGATATGAAGTATCCAAAATCTCATGTTTCCTCCTTAAATGAGAAAATAATACCATCGCCTTGAGGGATCTACATCCACCAAAAGTATCTCTAGGCTGAAGTTTCCTTTAAGAAATACCTGGGAATGAAAACCAAATGGAGTCCCTCTTCTTGGCGATATGTCCTGTATCTTAATACAATAGGCCTTTATTTTAATTTGTTTTGTCATTTTTTATGTAATACTGGAATCTAATCAGGGCATTTTTTAAAATTGAAGTATGTATAGTCAGTAGCCTATACTTTGGGGTGAAAAATTTTTTGTGTGTGTATCATAGCGTGAACCACTGCAACACACTTGTAATCTTTTACTTTAAGGGGCAAAGGACCACTGAAGCATACAACTGATGTGATCTATGCAGCTAAAATGATATCAGAATCAGGATCAAGGATGGATGTCCTTGCTCGGCAGATTGCCAACCAGGTGAGTTCTCTACAAATGGATGTGATGAAAGTCCATGCTAAGTGCTCTCTTCCATTGGGCATTGATTAGAACAAAGTTGAATTTTTATTCTGTTAGATGTTTTGTTTTTTTTCTAAACATTTTTTATTGATTTATAATCATTTTACAATGTTGTGTCAAATTCCAGTGTTCAGCATAATTTTTCAGTCATTCATGGACATATACACACTCATTGTCACATTTTTTTCTCTGTGATTTATCAACATTTATTATTGATTTATAATCATTTTAAATGTTGTGTCAAATTCCAGTGTTCAGCACAATTTTTCAGTCATTCATGGACATATACACACTCATTGTCACATTTTTTTCTCTGTGATTTATCATAACATTTTGTGTATATTTCCCTGTGCTATACAGTATAATCTTGTTTATCTATTCTACAATTTTGAAATCCCAGTCTATCCCTTCCCACCCTCTACCCCCACTGGTAACCACAAGTCTGTATTCTCTGTCCATGAGTCTTTAGATTCCACATATGAGCGATCTCATATGGTATTTTTCTTTCTCTTTCTGGCTTACTTCACTTAGAATGACATTCTCTAGGAGCATCCATGTTGCTGTAAATGGTGTTATGTTGTCGGTTTTTATGGCTGATGTTAGATGTTTTTTCCTAAATTATTATTAAAATTTTTTTTGCCTAATTAATACACAAGTAGTGGAAAATTCTAAGGAAATCTAATTATTTGGGGGAGGCTTTATTATTATCATTATTTAGAGCTTGATTATTTTTAAGATTTCTTTTCTTTTTTTTTTTTTTTTGGTGGGGGGAGGTAATTGGATTTTTATTTTTTAAGAGGAGGTACTGGGGATTGAACCCAGGACTTCATGCATGCTAAGCATGTGCTCTACCACTTGAGCTATACCCTCCCCCCTTAAGATTTCTGAGCTTCAGATACATCCAAATTATTTTAAATACCGGCTTTCTGAGTTTCAAGTATACTCAAATCATTTTAATTGGCTATAATACTCAATGTTAGTATTTTTTTCTGTAATACCTTAGAGTTCTTACGTTTGCTCTTCAAAAATCAGCACTTTTCAAAATCCTCTTATGTTAGGTTTTCTATGTCAATAATGTGTTCTGGCATTCTATGTAAAATTAGTAGAATACTGAAGTGAAGATACAAAATGTAGGATGTATATAATCCTTATAGGTGCTCTGAATGCTTGGTTTCCCTTCTTTATATTTCTCATGTGTCCATTGCAATTTTCTAAGCAACAGCTACATTATTAGCATTACCTTTTCCTTAACTTTAATTGAAAAACCTGTCAGTTTCTTTAGTTAATGTATTGAGATATTCAATTAATATTTAAGATTGAGATATAGGATTCCTTTGTAGGTTTTATATTATGCAACTCTGTAATACATACTTATCTTCCTTTGGGGAAAGAAAGCACTTTTATTTTTGAATCTACAACTATCTCATATTTTTCTTGCATGTACACTTTAAGGGAAGCTTTATTGGGCTTATTATTTAATCTTTTTATCCTCTTTTTCTTAGAACATGAAGAACTTTGTCTTGTTGGATATTATACTTTTGGATTTGGGGGAAATGAGGAGTAATAAAAACAGACAAATATTTTTAAACATTTTGAATATATATAGAGTCATATATATTTTTCCATTATCTTGCTACTTTAAGCATTATAAACATTTTATTAGTCTTTTCAGTGTTTCGCATTTACAGTTAAAAACAAACTCTATTCTAATATAAATCAAAATCTACTATAAATAAATGACTGAAGCCCATATCTGCCTATGGTTTTCTGTATTTTAGAATTTTATTGGATTCACTTTTATGAGACAAAATAGTAGTAAAATAAGCAAAACCATAATACATTAAACAGACTTATGTGTTCTGTAACTTTATAAATACTTAATGATTCCTACCAGTGTGATCCTATTTATTTTAGAATGTGCAATTTTCAAATTTCAAATCATTGTGTCACTTTGAAGTTGTTCTTTTTTTCTTAGACTCATATTCTTTTTTAATTGAATTAGGTCACCTTGCAGTAGGTGCTTTTATAACATTAGCTGTATTAAATTGTGCTATTGTTCTTAGTATTATTCAGATGGTATGGAAGAAAGCAAAAGTATTGTCTCACTTCCTTATAACTTTGACAGTTTAAAAGAAGCTTAATAAAAAAGTCACTGACTGGTGAAGAATTATGGATGACACTCTCTGGCCTTTTCTACCTCATAAAGTAAAGTAGTTTCAAATGAATTAATTTTGATCTGAATAAATAGGGTCCTGAAGAATCAAATCTGAGAGAAAAGAAACTGATTCTTATTATAGTGATCATCTGGGAAGATTGTCTATGACTATGATTTTGATATTGTTTGATAGATTAACATAAAAACTTAGACAAATATAATGTCTGAAATTGATTGTGGAATACAGTTGAATAAGCAAGGCAATTTTTTAAGTGTCAGTGTATATTATGAAAACAATCTGCCAGAACACTGGTTGCTTTCAACTTTGAACAATCTAATAGCTAAAAAATTCTTAACAATTTTTATGATGCTTTCGAGTCTGTTTTTTGCTAGAGTGTCAGAAGGTCTAACATCAATCAATTTCCAATTCCACCCAACACAGACTTGTGAAATATATATGTAGTTAGACTAATTTAGTTTCATTCTGTAAAGTTTCAAAGTTCATATGTAGAAAGAAAGAAAGAAAACCAGATTAATCAAAGTTTCTAAGTCTGTCTTCCTGGATTTTTTCTTTTTTCTTTTTTACCCTTCTTCCCTAACTTGCTTCCTTGAACATGTGTTTATTGTGTGTAACCACATACAATTTACTAGCCTAGCATTGCCATTAGGTAGCTAGGAAGCAGTGAGTGAAAATCTTCTGTTTTAACATATGGAACTGAAACTGTAATGTCAGCTTACTTGTCCCCATCACCCAACATCACGTGGATTTTTGAATTGTCTTGACGTGGTATGGTAGATTGCATATTCCATCCAAGACCTTATTGTTTAAGTCCTATAGAACTCTGATACAAGTCTCATCTCCATTAGATAGTGTATTCCTAAAGGACAGGATGTTGTTAGTTATCCCAGTTCTTAAACATTTTCCTCATGAGTAAAGAGAATGACAAGTCGGAGAAGTATCCTTCTTACAAATATAAGATTTCAGACCCTGGGTACACATTTCTTTTGATTTTTTGACTCCTCACTGTAATTCATCATGTTAGCAGATATTCTAAATTAGATGAACTGGATAATACCTCACAAGGTAGGAATAATACACTGAAAGATCTCAATTAATTATAGAAGCAGCCTACCCCAAATAGAAAGGAGATGAACAGTAAACAAAATAAAGTTAACATCTGCTAAAGTGTTTTGCACAAGAAGAGGACTTTCTGACCCCTGGTTGTTGTGTCTGAATCCTAATATTCCTTCACTGTAATTTTTCCAAAGCAAAGATACCCAGGTTATTGACTGGGTACTCCCGCCTAATCATAACTGGACACAATAAAAATGAATTTTCAGTGTTAAATATACTGAAAGCAATACTAATTCAGGAAAGATGACATTAAAAAAAAAGAACAAGATAGAGAATTACAAGCCAATTCACACACAGTGCACTGAACTATGAACAGAACAATCTGCAAGTGTAATTTTCATCGATATTTTGACAAAATATTGCTGGTGGCTACCCTGAATTAAATTGTGTCCTCTGATGTTATAATAGTAAAAAAAAAACTGTAATAGAACTACACTTAAAAGAAACTTCTGAAGCATTAATTATATGATTCTAACATGTCTCTTAAGGATATAACTCCTAGATGCATCCTGTAACAATATTTGTATTTTGACTCTGTTATCTGTCTGAAGTCTATTTGGAGCAGAGAAGTTGGTACCTGGATTTGCTCTCCAGATTAATGAACCCCTTACTTTATAAAAATGAATGCATAGCAGGTTCTCAGGAATTCAATAGGAATAGATAAATCCTGAAATATTCGATTTGTTTACATCCTTGAAATATTAGTCTCCTGTTGAAAGGCATACTATTTTACTGTTTTTCTTTTTTATTGGATTTTTGTCATTTTTCTCATTGAAACAATGTCTTAAATGCTTTTAGGGTGATTATATATTCAGTTTTATTTCATGTATACAAAAAACTATAGCCCTAAGTACCAAAAATAAGGTGTTTTAGGATCTAGAAAGAAGGGGCTATTTGGTATAAGAGGAGAAGAGGAAAGCTGAGGAAAGTTTCTCCTTACAAGTGGCTGGCTGACTTTAACCAGAAATTCCAAATAATCAAAATTTGCCTGAATTACCTTTCTACCATCCTTCCCACATTCATATTCTATATACAGTGTAGAACATTTTTATGTTTACTTCAACCCAAGTAACTCTTCAGTTGACAAGTTTCAGGTTTCAAGGAGGGAGATGACATTTTTTGAGTTGTAATCTAATCCAGAGGGAAGTCAACCCTTCTGAGAATTTCTCACAGAAGTCAGCACAAAGCAGAAAAGTAAGCTGGGCCAGAACTTTAAACCTACTAAAGGAAAGGAGCTTTGATGAAGATGGAAAACATGTTTGTCTTTAGTTTCTATTAGTGTTCAATGTATATGTCACTGATAGCATTTTCTCAATGGTTTTATGTCCAAACCAAGTTGAAACTAAAAATGAATTCGAAGCAGTTCTTAAACTCAAGATAATTTTAGTCTAAATAGAGATATAACAAAATCTGAACAATGTATATGATTTCTGGTAAAACAACACTGTGCATTGAAAAAATACCAAAATATAATTTCCCAAATACAACTCTCACAAGTCAGCATGCCCAGTCTAGACCACATTGAGTCAGTGTTGTCCTGCATCACATCATAACAGGGCCCCACTGCATTTTTACCACACTTCCATAGATACCGTTCTCTTCTGTGTTTTAGAAACCTTAGTTTGCTAAAGAGCAGCATTATAGGGCATAACAAAAAAAATGTTCAAAGTATGCTGAGACTTCTGGGTATAGAATCATCTCAAATTAATGACTGACCAAATTTAATAGATGGGAGAGAGGGAGAAAGCTCTTTATACTGAGATAGTCAATACAACAGGAGAAAAATGACTTTATTTATTTAGGCAAGATGGAGTATGAGATAGTTGAGGATTATCTGTGTTGAGTGTGAAATGTCGATAAGACAGTGAGATGGGCTGGACAGGTACAATAGGCATATGGATTTTCTGAAGACAGGGCTAGATAACAGAGATTAAGTCATTTTTATTTTGTAAGTGATAGACAGGGCCAGAACAGTATATACTATGACCCAAGAAGAAGGTCAGAGTGAAAATATGCAGAAGAACAAAACCCAAGAACATCAATGGGGCAGCATTGACAAATCTGTAGAAAGCATGTTCATGAACAGGGAGAGAGAAGGATGGGCTGCCAGGGTTGAGGGGGGTATTTTGTTTCAAGGGATTATATGTTGATAGAGTCAAGGATAGAAAAAGACATTTAAAGTACAGAAAAAGATGGGATCGTTGATGATCTGTGACCCTGAGAAAGGTGAAATGAGAGCCTCTGGACCGGAGTACAGGTAAAGTGAGCCCTGTGGGAAGGCGAAGGTCCTGGGCACAGAGTGCTTTTGCTCTCACTGATTGCTTGAAATTTCTATTAGAAATTCACAATGACACCTGGTTCTTACCCTTCACAAACTTTGCCAGCTTAGCAGAATTTAAACTGTTGTCCTTATTTGTAAAAGTCATTTAAAATGTGTCTAAATGAAGTTTATATTCCAGTATGAGAAAAAATAGCTAAGCTTATGGAGTATAGGTCTTAAAACATATACACTTTGCTAATTCACCCTTAAAATTCAAACTGAAAGGTAATAAATGTTCTTCAGTTTTCCTGTCATTATTAAGTGATGTATTCTGTGTGGGTACCAAGCATCTTACCAGAAGAGTGAAAGCTAGTTTAATGTGCCAAAGCCACTTAGCTGACATGCCATCTGCTTGCCTGTAGTGAGTGTCCTGGTGGTGATAAAAGTTAAAAAAAAAAAAGCATTAATAAGCTAACTAGATGTCCTGGCTAACATCTCTTATCTTAATAAGTGGAGAAATAATAACCAAAGTGTGTTATATTTTATCACTTGATTTGCCTAAAAGTTCCTAGCAACATTGCTTTAAAAATGTTTTTATGCAAATTTTATTTAAAAGAAAGTGAAGGATATGAATGTTCTATAAATCTAGGTCCCAAACTTTTTCAGTTAGCTCCATGTAAAAATATAAAAGGTGAAGAAAATATAATTTGATTTTAGTAAAGGAGGTTTGGCAAATAGGAGAAGAGTATTCTTAAAGTGGGAACAATTCATTCTCCTGATTCTGCTTCTAGGCGGGCAAAACTGACTCAGAAAGTCTTTCCAAATGCCAATGGGAAAGAAGGCTTTAACGCATTTTATAGTATGGAATTTGCCAGTCAATATGTTTTTATACTTCAGTTATAAAACTGACTACCATCTTTAAGTGTAACCAAGATACTCATCAATGCTGGGAATGAAGGGTAGATCTGGGTCAAGTAACTTTTAATTTCAAAAGTTTAACTTTACATTTTCTACTCATTTGACTCATTCTTTCCTTAACAGAATTCGAGACTCTGCTAGCATGGTATTGAAAGTCCCTTGAGAGAGACTGATCGGTTATCAGTTAAGAATCTAATTATTCATTTGCAAGTTTGATTTTATCAGAAGTTCCTTAGTGGTATCAGTCCTTAAGGAAAAAAATCCACACTAGTCCTACTTAAAATATATGGACAAGAGTGTCAATTTAAGAAACCAATTTATAGATTGGCAATTTACTGTTTACTATATAAGATAAAACTGACAGGAAGGCTGATACTGTTCTTAGACTTTAATAGTAGAGAGGTGGAGCCTCACAGATCATGCGAGTTTAGATACCAGCTTTACCATTTAGTAACTGGGCGAGTCAGTTAACTTCTCTGTGTCTTAGTTTCCTCCTTTTCTAAATGGGATAATAATAGAACCTACCGCATGGAGCTGTGTGATTATTAAAATAGTTAATATAGGTAAAGCACCTAGACAGATAAAACACCGTATGTGTCAAAGACTATCATTGAGTCCATTCCTAAGAACAAATATATAAGACCATCCAATACTCAGGATAGAGGAAGGAAGGTGTTTGGATGAATGTCATATAGAAGAGATCATTGTGCAGTGGATGAAACAGGAAAAACTAAATTCAAATCTTTACAAAAATCATATACTCTATCCAATAATTGGATCTAAGTAAAATGGTGCAGTGAATACTAACTTAGAACCATGCATATAAAGGACGTGACACCAGTGCCTGACATGTAGAAAGTACTTAATAACGATCAGACTTCATGCCAGGGTAAAACAATAGGATGACTTGCCTTTCATCATTATAGGTAATTCTAGATAACTAACTTTTGTCTTTGAAAAAAATCAAAGCACTCTTCACTTGAAAATAAACATAGCGTTTTCATAAATTCTCTTTTTCCTTGAAACTGCAAACCGTGGTATTCTGTAATTTAAAAAAAAATGTAGCCCCAATTCCTTTATGTTTAGTGATTGAAAATAAAGTGGACCTGAAAGCAAGTAGTTATGGGTTCCAATATTGGCTGTAGCATAAATAAACTCCTCAATCCCAGGAAAGGATTATGCTTTCTAAATTTCTCATCTCATCAGTAATTTGGGAAAATCCCTTTCTCTTCCTTCTTTGTCTGTTTCTTTCTCCTCCTCCTTCCCCCTTTTCTCTCTTTCTCTTTGTCCCTCTCCTTGTCCTTTGTCTCCTCCTTCTTAATTAGTTATAATTTAATCCTCCTGATGAGAATTGTGGGGTGATCTTTACTTCCTTCTTTAAAGTTTGAGAGAAGTTCTTCATGTCACAGTCTCTAACATCTTGGCTGATTCTCATGTATCTAAGAATCCACTCACATGTCCGTGTCTGTCTAGCAGGTGGATAGTACTTCTGCAGAAGAATTCATATCTTTGTTATCTTTGTTGACTAACTTTTACTGGAAGGTCACATGTTCTAATCTCATCCACCCATCGAGATGCTATGTAGACTAGTCCATTTACCAAATATAAAAGAGAATAAGATTCTCAGCAATTATCCAATAACACTCCAGCTTATTAACTACTATGGAAGGGTAGAAATGCATGGAATGCTTTCTGGTCTTTCATTCTACTTTTTGATTTTCATTTTTGGCTATTAGAATTAAAGCTTTTTAAATAACATTTTTATGACTAAATAAGTAATATATTTTAAGTAACATATAAGTAACATATTCCATTTCCTTATGAATATGTATTTAAAGTGGAATTAAGTTATCAGGGATTTAAAAAAATCTGTTATAACTGCATAAGAGAAAGAACACAGAGATTAAACAATAACCACAGATATTTATCATGTTGTGCTGAAGCTCAAAGCTCTAGTCCAGGAAGTTCCTTACAGAAAATAACATAATGCAGGAGACTGCTTTTGGCAAAGAAATTTAATGCATCTCTAAAACATGCATGCTGCCTGTTTCTTGGTTGCAGTAGATCCACAGCTGTTAGCTTAGGTGGAAATGATTTATTTTGTCTGTGATAGCTAAGAATGTTAAATCCTGAAAGTAACAGAACATAATATATGTTTTGTTGCAGATGTTTTTTTTAATGCCCATATAAATAACAGAGGACAGACAGTGCAGAACTGTGGGCCCTGAGGGGTGCTCTCATAGTAGCTTTAGATAAAAGGAATAATTGCATTTGAAGTATTTCTTCAGATTTACCTATAAAATGATAATCCAAAGGCTTCTAACCTTATCATAAATTAAAGGTAATTATTTTATATACATTTTCACGTCTGGGAACTCCTTTACTATTTCCTCTACCTATGCTGAAGTAAATAAGGTTGAAACATGAACAGAGTCTTCTAATGGTGGGAGCATATCAGAATCCACACGGGCTTGGTCTGAGAAATGGGACTCAGCGAAAACAAAGTTGCTGTCTTCTAAGTTACTTGGAGTCTCAATGTTTACTCACTCGGATCTACTTATTCTTTGCTATTTCCATTTTTATCTTTTATCCGTATTTAGTGCCCAGATCCATCATGCAAACAGGACTTGTTGGCCTACCTGGAACAGATTAAGTTCTACTCTCACCAGCTGAAAATCTGCAGTCAAGTTAAAGCTGAGATCCAGAGCCTGGGGGGTGAGCTCATCATGTCAGCGGTGAGTCCTGCCCTGCACTTCCACCACCACACGTGGAAGATGCTTGAAACAGAGCAGCTACACCCCACCTTACCACACCAAATCTCACAGGTCCACGTAGACTAGGAAAAACTCATTTGGAGTATATAAAGTTGCATGAAACTAAGCAAGCGAGAAATCTTGCTGGATTTCTTAAAGAAATGTTAATTCAGTACAGCTTGTCTTTACTTACTTCAGAGATTTCAGAGTGAATCAGGTTTCGAAAGCCACTTGTATAGGAAATGGATGTTAATTTTAAGCCAGTTTTCAGATTTCAGGAAGTGTGCAGATGGAACTCTGAATTGAATCCTATAATTTTTATGAAAATAAGTGCACATAGAATTGCAAATTAATGAAATGATTGCTTTATAACTATTAATCAATATCCATTTTCCCATTATTCATTTCTGTGTCATAGAAATTCAGGTCATGAAAACTGTTACTTCCATATGTAATTGTAGCAGTGAAGTATGATAGAACATAAATAGATTTATAGGAAATTTCATAAAATCTTGGTGACTCTCAGTTTCAAACTGCTATAAAATGACCATGGAAGAAATAATGTCTACCTTTTCTACTTACTCTTCTTTTAATAACAGTGGATCATTTCTCTAGAGTGGGTATGGTAATAAAATAACATTTGATATCTGTATCAATGACTTTGAGAAGGACATGGACCAGGATTATAAATTTAAGTTAAAGTGACACATCATGAATGTTCTAGGAACTTACATTCATGAGGACAAATTTTTAAAAATGATAACAGCATACTTATAAATTTATATTATCTAGAAGCTCTATAGCCTGACTTTGGACTTTCCCTCATTGAACTAACATTCTTAAAAAGAACATGGTTGCAAAACCAAAAGTAGAGAATTACCATCAAGGGTAGAGGGTTGGGAACTAATGCTAATTGACTGTCTATCTCTTGCCTATATTTTATCTCATTTAATCATCTTAGTAACATACCAGGGAGATTGTTTATTTGTTTATTTTCTTTAACATTTGGGAAAAAAAAAGAAATTCAGAAAGGTTAAATAGCTTCCCAAAGTTTATGCTAGTAAATGTCAGAACCGGGGTTTACCTTCAAAGGTCAGTGCCTCCTCTGTTCAGGTGCACACCCTTGAATCTGTGATGAAATTCAAGACCAGAAATGAAAAGTGGACACTTTGAAAATTGTGCCTAGTGATTATTAGAGATAAAAAGATTTTGTTTCCTTGATACTCAAATTTTGCAAAAACAGTAACACAAACCAACACAACCTGCACTATACTGGTGCCCTGTCATTTTTCAAAGGAAAATGCATTTTAAGTAGTCACAGTCTATATACACAGAAACATATGGGTGTATGAATACATGAGTGACTGTGTATTTGCATATGTTCAAGTAGCATGTGTATGCATATATACACATTTTAAACTATTTTATCTTTATTTTGGATCATTAGATACTAAATCTTCATTTTCTCACTTAACATTATACTACTTTAAATGTTTAAAAATATGTTTATTTGTAGACCTTAGTCTGTCTTCTATTTACTTTTCTCAATTTCACATCCTCACCGTTATTCCCAAGGCCTAAATCCATATGAATTTTAATTTCCAATTACAGATTACTTCATGTTGTCTGAAGCAAATCTTTCTTAAAAAGGTGACAGAAATTCAGCCTATACATTATGTTAAAATGTATTACTGCTAATTGTCCCTCTAAAATATGATTTCTTCCTAATGTACAAATTGAGTTTGTATCCCTTTGTGCTTGGTATGATGATTCAAATTCATGAACTTTACATATTTTACAGATAGATTAGGCATGAACCATTTAGGGCTCATAATTTACAATTTAAAAGCTGAGTCATTATTTAAAACAAAGAATAGCATTACAAATCCAAAACTCTCTTGTCATCATTACACCCAGTTTCCCATTAGAAAAGATAAATATGAAACAAGGGAGCATGCTCTGGCCCTTGTACATCCTTCCTGCTGTCTGCTTGCAAGTAGATCCTGGAAAGCTTTTAAAATACACTTCATTTGCATGTGCCAGAGTACAACTGCTCTAATCTCTCCATGACCCCGAGTTTTAATCTTGTCTACTTTCTTCTTTAAATTGAAGAGTTCTAATCTAAGTCATCATTTTTCTATGAAATCTTTTGAAAAGTAACAAGGATGATTCTAAAGCAGGGTAACTCATTAAAAATTACAGGCATTTGGTATTCAGAACTACAGACTACTCAAAGTTTGTGTCCCCAAATCAGGTTCATGAACATTACTTTTAGTAAATGTATTTGGTTGAAAAAAGTAGGTATGAGTGGAATGAATTTCCAGAGTAAATGAGCAAAAAGTGCTTTCTGGGTCTGGAGTATTAGGGTTTAGGATAAAGAAGTTGAATTCATAACATAAAAGAATTTGAAAACCATTCTTAGACCAGTTAATTAAAATTATTTTTCATTCATTCTTACATCTATTTGCAAGAACTTATCCTGAAGTTTTATGTTTTATTTATAAGGAAACCAAAGTATAATCGATCCAAAATCCTAACCAGGAATTGAGCATCCTCTCTGTGCTAGGCATCTGAGAACACCTAGGAGAAGGAAAGAGGAATATATGATGCCTCCTTTAAGATGCTCAAGTATGTTCAAAATTAAGATACATAAAATATACCTAAATATACAACTAAATATACAAAAAAGACTTCAAAATAATGTCATTAGCCATATGATGTCTGAATGCACAAAAGAATGCACATAGAATTGGTGAGGGGATAGTTAATTCCACTGATAGGGCAAATGAGCAAGAGGAAGCTCTGTAAGTGGCTTGACTCCAATTTGGTGCTTGATTAATAAGTTATAAAAAAAAAGCTGTACATTTATGAGGGAGGGAGAGGAAAAGGATCTGACATAGATAGAATAACTGAAATAGAAAGATAGGAATAGGGAAAGACGAGGGGTATTATGGAAATAGTAAACAGTCTGCAGTAATTGGAAACAATTGCACTTGGTACTGTTGGTGTGTTACAGGTGGCAAGTAGAAGAGAAGCTGCAAACGAAGCTGGGGTTGCTTTAAAAGGATCGTTAATAATGTTTTACCATTATCCTAGGCAACTGAGAGTAATTAAAAAATGTTAAGTCTTGAGATGGGCCTAAACAGATCTATATATTTGGAAGTTACTGGTTTTTGTTTTTTTTAATCTATATTTATTGAAGTATAGTCAGCTTACAATGTTGTGTCAACTTCTGGTGTACAGCATAACATTTCAGTCATACATGAACATTAATATATTTCTTTTCATGTTCTTTTTAACCAGAAGTTATTACAGGGTATTGAATATAGTTCCCTGTGCTATACAGTGTAAACTTGTTGTTTATCTACTTTATATATACTAGTTAGTATCTGCAAATATCGAACTCCCAATTTACCCCTTCCTACTCCCTTCCCTCCCTGGTAACCATAAGTTTGTGTTCTATGTCTGTGAGTCTGTTTCTGTTTTGTGAATAAGTTTGTCTTTTTTTTTTAAGATTCCACATATAAGTGATATCATAGGGTATTTTTCTTTCTCTTTCTGGCTTACTTCACTTAGAATGACATTCTCATGGTCTAATCATGTTGCTGCAAATGGCATTATTTTATTCTTTTTTATGGCTGAGTAGTATTCCATTGTATAAATATACCACAGCTTCTTTATCCAATCATTTGTTGAGGGACATTTAGATTGTTTCCATGTCTTGGCTATTGTAAATAGTGATGCTATGAACATTGGGGTGCATGTATCTTTTCGAATTAGAGTTCCCTCTGGATATATGCCCAGGAGAGGGATTGCTGGATCATATGGTAAGTCTATTTTTAGTTTTTTGAGGAATCTCCATAGTTTTCCATAATGGCTGCACCAAACTACATTCCCACCAACAGTGTGGGAGGGGTCCCTTTTCTCCATAGCCTCTCCAGGTAATACCTTATTGTAGTTTTGATTTGCATTTCTCTTATAATTAGTGATATTGAACATTTTTTCATGTGTCTGTTGGCCGCTTGTATGGCCATTAGAGTCATTGGAGAATTACTTATTTAGATCTTCTGCCCATTTTTGGATTGAGTTGTTGGGTTCTTTTTTTTTTTTTTCTTATTAGATTGTGTGAGCTGATTATATATTCTGGAAATTAAGCCCTTGTCAGTCTCATCTTTTGCAAATATTTTCTCCCATTCTCCAGGTTGTCTTTTTGTTTTGCTTATGGTTTTCTTTGCTGTGCAAAAGTTTGTAAGTTTAATTAGGTCCCATTTGTTTATTTTTGCTTTTATTTCTATTGCCTGGGTAGACTGCCCTAGGAAAACATTGCTGAGGTTTATGTCAGATGATGTTTTGCCTATGTTTTCTTCCACGAGGTTTATAGTGTCTTGTTTTGTGTTTAAGTCTTTAAGGCATTTTGAGTTTATTTTTATGTATGGTGTGAGGGAGTGTTCTAACTTCACTGATTTACATACAGCTGTCCAGTTTTCCCAGCACCATTTGCTGAAGAGACTGTCTTTATTGTTTGTTTTTGCCTCCTTTGTCAAAGATTAATTGACCATAGGTCTGTGGATTTATTTCTGGGCTCTCTATTCTGGTTTTTGTTTTTGTTTTGTTTTGTTTTTTCACAGAATTCATGCCAAACCTTTAATTTTTTATTTTTTTATTGAAGTATAGTTGATTTCCAATATTATTAGTTTCAGGCATACAACATAGTGATCAATATTTTATAGATACTCCTTTTAAAATTATAACATAATATTTATATATTCCTGTGCTGTACAGTATGTCCTTGTAGCTTATTTATTTTATACATACTTCTGTTTTGTTATATTTATTTTTCTTGTATTTTTGTTTCTACAGATAAGCAGTAGCATACAATGTTTGTCTTTCTGTCTGACTTATTACCCTCTAGGCATAATACCCTCTAGGTTCATCCATGCTTTTGCAAATGGCAGAAATTCATTATTTTTATAGCTAAGTAA